GAAAATTATATCAAATTTTTAAAAGCTAGTTTAGAAAGGCACGTTTTGAGCAAGGATTTTAACTGTTGAACTGTGTTTGATTTCCTTAACGAGATAGGTAAGGCATTCACAATGTGGAGCAGCAACAGAATATAAAGCATTGTACTTGAACAAAACACCTTTATAACGATACAAATGTTTTCAACATGGGGGTTTCACTCACTTCACTCATATCACTTTTGAGCTGGCACAACCAAAGGAATCAAGGAGTTTTTATTTTTTCTGAACTATTAAGGGTAAATGGCCTCAATCTTTCATCTCTGATACAGTGCTTTACTTAATGATAACTTACCAGTCAGTTCATGTAAGGACTGTGTTCAATAACGTACTGTTTTTTCTGGTTGTTTGACTTTCAAGGCTACAATACAAATCATTCAGGACGGATAAGAAAAGATTTCATTACAAATTTTCAGACCAACGTTGTCATGTTACATTCAGTTTTTCGTATAACTTGTTTCAATACTTTGCCGGTAAAGTTGTGACGTGAAATCAGTTTACGTATTCAGTTTGCTGCTTGAAATAATTGCGGTTAGACTATCACAGTAAATTTATGATTCCCTTTTGCAGCTGTTTGTAGTGTAGCAGTGCATCGCTATTCAGTCTTATTCAAATTTTTGTCTCATTCCCACCTGAAAACTGAGTTCTGACTGTCAGTAACCAGGCCCTTGAAGCCAAGTTTAAGTTATTGTAGACAACCTTCCATTTTGTTTTGAAATTCGAACCACTAATAGGGAAATTACAGCAGAGGCTCGCGAGAATTTCGCAGACAGCAATTGATCGAAATTTAACAAACCAAACTTTTAACTTAGGCTGACAGACAACCCGCGCCGTTGATTTCCCGCGCTTTTAATCCAAGTTCCCATTAATCAGGTGGGCAACACGTGTCAGTAATAACGGTTGACTCCCCTGGCTTTCCATTAAGCTAGCTCCTGTCCAGTATAAAAAAAAAAAAACAATTTGAACTAAGACTTTGTAAAATGTTGGAAAGTTAAATTTAAATAAATGTATAGGCCCTTTCAAGTTTTTAGTTTTGAGTTAATCGATTAAAGGATGGCTCTTTCATTTCGTCCCAATGGTCTTCCGTTTCTTAGAGCACTTATCAGAGAAAAAGAATTTGGCTGCTACCTGCATCCAAAGCACTTGGAGATTACGTCACTTTGTAATGGAGAACGCAGATGCGCTCATCTTAGATGACTGGTTCAAATCTCAGAAACTTAGACTGCTCCAACACAAGATGTCAGAAAACATTCGACGATGGAGGGTTGTCCGAAGAAGCTGGTCACGAGGTAAGCTAACTAAATTACGTTGGATCATCACAACAACAAGTTCTAGGAACAACAAGTCTTCAGAACATAGAGACAAAAAAAAATCTAACCAGTTTCCAGAACGGCCAAGGGGAGGTGTAAGGGGTAGGGGGATACTGTCATGGCGTGATCTGTTTTCGTTTAGGTTTTTACTTCTTAAAACAACAAAGAATGAAGGAAGTAGCCTCAAATCACAGTACATTTTTTGGCTACTAAATAGAAGTCAGGAGGGTTAGTTTGGTCTTACTGTTGCTGATTCAATAGTGCATACAAAAAAAACAACAACACAAACAAAAACAAAACAGTGATCATAATATGGACTCGGGTGGGGCATCAATCAGATCTCAGTTGCTAGTTGTCGTACATCTTTTTAATAGATGATTACTGGAAGAAGTTCTTCTTGAATGATGACATTGCCATGTTGCTGACTGATGTTTCGAGGAGCGTGAGTAACGTGGAATATCTGCTGCAGAAACAAATGGGTGGACGACGAATTAGCCGAAGCTCACTAAAAAGCCTAGGCTCACCGCCGACAATTTTCGAAGTAAGGTTTCTCGTTTCTTTCATAAAAAAGCATATAGACGTAGATCACCTTTGCAGAGAAAACTGAGGAACGTTTCCTTCGTTTGATTATCTTTAAACAGTATGAACATTGTCTTTAAGTGATCATTACAGCAGTGCGCCATTCATTCTCTGCCTATTTGTCTCTATGTTTTACAGGAACAACCACCGAAATCATCTCTGGAACCTCCTCATATAGATAAAAACAGAAAAGGCCAGGCAGTGCTTGTTGACTCATGGCGGCCATCAAAGACTGGACAAAAACAGAGACCCTCATCTCTTAACTCAACCAACTCGGAAGATGGCCAGCCACTCCAACATCTCTCGTTAACATACAATCAAGTGGACAAGCTATCCACTGGACACAGTAATCACTCGCCACACTGCAAATTACTCGACTTTGATGAGAACAGTCGCACCACCTCTTCGTCCTACCGGTCTAGGTTAGAGAGTGATCCTATTGATCGAGGTGTCATGCCCGCGGACGCCCTGCATGTAAAGGTGGAATCATTGGAGAATTCTTTGGATCAAATTTACCGCAAAATGAAAAGTGACCTCAGAGACGTTCGCGACTCGATAAAGGTGTTGAGCAGACATTCTGCCGAGTCGTCTTCGACAACAAGTCCTTTACCGTCCATGGGTTCAAAAAATAACATGTACCACTTTCGCTATCCACAAACTAAGGCTGAGCACATTGACGTGTGACGAAATACCAGGAGACAAGTCTTCAGCGACCAGTACATTTTATGGATAATCCTTTTTTCAGAGGCTTGGTATCTCAAGCTCTTAATTTAACCTCAAAGTTTATGGGAGAATGTTCACGTTGCTTGAAACTCTCAAGATTGGTTCGCGTAGAAAACCAGGTTATTTGACTATCTTTTGTACGCCAGATATCAATATTTTTATCAGATCCAAAGTTTCCGCTTCCAGAAGCTGCCGCCAGTAATATCCTTCGGGAACTGCTGAAAAAGTTCCTCGCAGCAAATACTGGGTTAAATACTCCTGTGTAGTGTA